CCTAAGGTTTTTTACGTTTTTTGCGTTACGGCATATACAAATTTTAACGTAATTTTCAATTAAACAAACTGTAAAATAAATAAATAGATTTTAAAAATTTAGACAGGTGATAAAAAGGTGTGTGGAAGGCGAATATCACAACAAAAAAAAAAACAAACAAAAAAAAATGAAAGAAAGGAAAAGCAAAAAAAAAAACCTTAATTGTCACAATTACAAGTCATCATCAATCATGTTCGTCAGAAAATCATTTTCTTTTTTTGTTTGTTTGTTTGTATTTTTACGAATTTCTGTAAGGTAACAACTTCAGAACATATTAGTATTTATTAGATATTAGTTCGTAGTATAGTCTCTTTAAGGTAATAAATTTGGAATTTGTGAACCTAAAATATTTTTCCTACAGGAGTTTAAAGGAAGAAGATTTTACGTAGTGACATCTAACCAAAAATGGTTTCCATTCTTCATATCAACCTTATACTCTTCTGCAGCGTTTTGAGGAATTACTTTGGATCAAAGTTAGGTGGTTGCAAGAGTACATGATATGAATTTGTGGTTACAAATACCAATTGCTTAAATCATATTTGGTAATTCATTATTCAATTTAGGATTCGGATTTTGCATAATTCACTTTATATTTTCCTGAAACCTGCTTGCTGTATCTCTATTTATTCTAAAGCTATGGTTGAAAGTGTAAAAATTTAATATTAAATTATATTATGTTTAATCTCACTGAATCAATTTTGACAAGGAATTTTATCAAAATCAAGCAAAAATTTACTTTACTTGGTTCCGAAGTTGTAGAAGTACTGTCATAAACAGCTAACTTTCTTTTAAAATTAAATTTTGGATTTGAATTTAATTCATTTGAAATCAAAGTAGTCAGTTATATTTTGGGAATGACTGACTATTTCATCTTAAAAAAAAATGGTTGTTCCGAATTTCTTTATTATAGGTGCAGAATTGCAAAATCTTCAAGTTTTTGTTTTTCTTTCATCTTTTATTTTGAATTTTGTGAAGATTTTATTTTTATTTTTCATGATTGCTCAGAATTCTGAATTCGGAATAATTAGATTTTTTTCCGAATCTGTTCCGAATATATTTTTCAAATTTTATTTCTCAAAAATAAAAAAATTAAGCCGAAATAACCGAGTATAATTATAGAAAGATTGTTATTTAAATATTTTATGATTCGTATGAATTTTGTCTAGTCTTAAAAAGACATCAAACATTTTTCGATAAGTGAAACTACATGTAGAGAATTTTCGTTTCATATGTTATTAAATGAAGTTTTAAAGTTAAGCTATTGGTATTTTCTATTGTTTTGCGACATTCTTAATTCAATTTTATCTCTATTTTGTGTAGATAATTAACATTTCATAGATTTAGGTAAGCAACTTATACGAGTATTCAAAGGTAGTAAATGTTATCATAGGTAGGTATGTATGTACTTTAATTTTACTTCAATCGCTCAGCTACTTACACATAATATATAAATGAATTGTAAAATTTTTTTTTCTCTATCTTGTTTGGTAAAATCACAGGAGAACCCAAATAATCATATTAGATACGCCTCCGCTGTTTACTTGAAATGAAAATAAAAATAATTTTATTTTTAAGGCTTTAACATTTGTGTTCAAATTATTTTGTACGATGGTACAACATACAAATGTACATAAAAGCGAAGTAAAACAGAAGTGTATGTGATTGTATGTTTTTATTATAAACAAAAATATCGTTCAATAGGGTAAACGAAATATGCATTTGTTTATTGGAGTGTTCACTTATATGGCGAAAATTATATTCAAGGAGTTGATCATAATGCATCGTAATAAAATACATAATGTGAAGAAAAGAAAATTTTTTGCATGTGTACATAAATGTATGTATATAATAATATATGAAGGTAAGTACATATAAGAGGAAAACATGTAAAATCTTGTCTCAATTTAATTGTACCACAATATTTTGTAATTTTTCGTGTTTAATTTTGCTGTAGAAAGATTTTTATTATTTTTTTGTTTTTTATTTTCTAAATGTACTCAAATTTATGGTTGCAGGGAAATAATATATAAAATGAATAATTGGCATAACTATTAATAAGAATGATTTTCTAAATTGTTTGAATTTGTTGAAATAGTTCGAAAATATTTAGACTTCATTGAAGGCTCACTAGTACCCCACAAACACCGAATATACAATTATGGAACATCAAAGTTATCCATAATGGAATACAAGAAGTGGAATAGAAGTGGATTGCTTTTTATAGAGATAGAGTAGAACAGCATAGCTGTATCATTTGATATTTTTTGAAGGAAAACTACGCTCCCTTTACAATATTATTGAAGTTAATATGTAGGGTGGTGTGGCGACAATTAAATTTGTATTACATCAAATTTGTATAAGGCAATTTTTTTTTTGTATATTTTAAAATTATTCAAAAGATTTTTAAGATTAAGATGTCTACTAAAGTTACTGTTAACTAATTTTTTTTTTCAAAAAGGACTGCTCTTTTAGGATAAATAGTAACTTTCTAAAAGAGCAGTTCATTTTACTACCTCTGATTACTAGAGCAGTTTATTCTAGCACAATAATTTAATTTAATTTTATATTGTAAATTTCAATATTTTTGCATTAACTCTAACATTTGTATAGATGTCGGCAATTTAATGTGTACAAAAAATTCTTGACTTTTACAATGACAAACTATAATTTTTTTTAGCAAGTGAAAATTTTGAGATATTTGAGTCTAATTACAAATAAATAATTAAGGTGATAAGGTAATTTAATGTTATAAAAGTAATTGTTATAGCCTCATGAACCTGATTTTTTTAAAGTTAGTAAAAATAATCATCAAAATCTCTTTAGTCTACAAGTAAAGTTAATTTGTTTTCATAAATCAATTGCCTATTTTAATTAACAACAACTTATTATGGAAGAAGCAATGAATCGATGATATTTTTGAATTTCAATGAAATTTTTTTTTTTGATACCATATTTGGATTTTATTCCATGGAGCCCTAATTAAATAATTTTTAATCTTTCATTTAAACTTAAGGTAATGATAATTTTATTTTGTATAATTTTTTATTTCTTTTTTATACTATGGCAAAAAAGATTCCAAATTGAACACGAAAATTTTATTAATTGTACATTGAACAATTTATGTATGTATGTATGTATGTATAAATATTATGTTTATAAAATTCACGAAATATCATGGTAGAAAATTAAAATAAGATCTGTGATTTTTAAAATAAAGTAAATATGTCAAGGTATTTAACATGAAAATTTTGTTTAATTTTTTATTATTGTTTGTTAAAAGAACTTGTAAGGCTTTTTTTTTGTATTCCAAATATGAAATTTATTTAAGAAAAAATAAAGTATATTATAATCAATTTAATTATCTAATTGCAAATATTATAATAAAATATTTTATTATTATTAAACGTAAAATAGTGTTGCCGTTTAATTAATATTATTTAAATATAATTGTCAAATATGCTCTGTATAGTTTGATAGTAGAAAAATATTTATGGGCAAATTACTTTGTTTCAAAAAAATTTCTAACTAAATAATGGTTAGAAATTAAAAAATAAACATTTAACTTTAACAATTAATTTGATATTTTTCATTCAAAATTTCTGATAGAAACAAAATTCGATTGCTTACGCCTAGGATGACAGGAAGATACAAGTTGTCCTGAACGCAATAGTATTCCATCAGTAGGAAGATAGAATGACTTCAAACAAACAAGAAATATCTGCTGATATTTTGCTTTTTCGCCACTCCTTCTTAAGTTAGAGACCTTAAAATTGGAAATTCTAGAAGCCGTATAATTTTTACATTTTAATTGATAATTTGGGAAATATACCAGTAAACCTAACTTCATATCGTCGGCAAAACTGTGATACCACGTAAGTGCAAATATTTCAAAAAGTACTTTACCAATTTTCTGTTTAGGAAATGTCAAACAATCCATCTTTTAAATTTATGAAAATATAAAAATTATTTAAAGAATATGTAATTATTTATTAGTTTTTACTGTTTCGTAAATTTTAAAGATTGACTGTTTGAGATTTCATAAACAGAAAATTGATAAAGTACTTTTGGAAATATTTGCACTTACGTGGTATCACAGTTTTGCCGACGATATATTCATTTTGCAGCTCATGAAATTCTACTTACCAACTGCATAACACAAGGCGTAATACAATAATAATGAAAAATTTTGTGGAACGTTTTTTTTTTTTATTAAAAGCTAGATTTTAAAATATTTATTTTTAAATTGGGCGGTAACACTTTTTTTTGGTGATAATTTTATGTCTAATAATTTTAAATTCATAATTTTTTTTAATTGCAATTGTTTTTTCAATATCATTTGTTAATATTGCCAAGTTATTAATTTATTAATAATTTTAATATTTAAATAAATTTTTTGCAGTATTTTTGCAGTATGAACCAATATCCAGTTAATTAAAATTACAGAATTTCTTTAGGATTATGCTGCACTTCAAAGCAAGAAATAATTTGTATTGTACATTTGTTTTAATTTTACGGTGGCAATTATAGGATATTCGATAGATAATTTGATATTAGATTACAAGAGTAGTGCCTGCAATTTTCTTTACCAGTATGATTTGGAAAATTACTTATATTTTACAGTTTTTGAGAATATTATATACGATTTCAAAATTAAGTGAATTCAAAATTTCTAAAATATTAAACAAATTTGTAATAAATTACAGAGCACTATATAGTAGGCTTCAATTATAGTATGAAAAATTGAAGTTTGAAAAATTTTCAACAATTTTTTTTTAAACAATTTGTTTTAATATTCACAAGATTAAACTTAAAATGAAAAAATAGAATTATACTAAAAACGAATTAAAATTATTAACAATTTGTGGAATAACAATTAATTTTGCACATTTTTCATAACATAGAATACAAAATGCTTATATTTCTTTAATAAAAATTAAAAAAATCTATAAATTTTACAAATATTAATGATGAAGAGAATGATGATTAGATGGTCGCACTTCCGTTGGATAATGCAAATTAGAATGTATTAATTGTTTTGGATAATGATCATGGATTACTTTTGTAATAAGTGGCGATACAATTTTTGATGTATATTTTGCTATTGGTATAGATTCTGTTGAAGAAGATGGTGAATGTTGTAATATAACTGGTCCTGGTGCAATAATTTTGTGTTCAATTAATTCTCGGTGTACAACAGCATTAAACCCATTATGTGGATCAGCTATATACTTTACAGTACGTTTATAACCATCTGGATCAATAACACTATATGAACCATGTACAGCACCATGTTCATCAGCTGTTTCATGTTGATTTTTAACATCACCGGTATGACTATCATGTACACCATATGCAAATTTATATGGTTGTGGTGATAATTCTGATTCCATATTATGTTCTTCAATTTGTTTATTTAATTGTACTGGTTCAATATATTTAATAATTTTTGGTGGATTTAAAATATGTGATGATTCAATATTATGATGATGATAATGATTATTATGATGTAATGTTTCATAATGATTTGGAATAATACCAGAACTAACGAATGATGTTAAAGCACAAATTGTTATTAACTGTAAAAAGAGATCATACAAATAATTAATATTTTTGTTCAAATGTTTTATGAAATGAATGAAAAATGATGAACAAATTAATTTTTATTCAAGGTGAAATCAAATATAATTCACATAGGTAAGAATTAATTATACTTACTTTTGATATCATTTTTATTAAATTTTTAATAAATTAGATCAAATTTTTCTTAAAGAAAAATGTTTATTAAAAGAAAGTTGTTTATTGTTTGACTACAATTGTCCATTTGTTGTTTTCTTTTATATAGGGATGTGTAACATATTATTCTTGTAATTGATAATTAGTCAAAAAAATCATCGAAAATGTCAAGATTACCCACATAATAAATTAAAAATGAAAGGTAAATAATTTCATAATTATTAATTGTCTTTAATATATTTTTGTTATTATTCAAAATTTCACAAGACTTTATATGGTCAACATTTTATAATTTAGGACTTTAGATTAATACATGTACGTATTGCCTACAATCAGAGAGGGAACACAAATGTAATTGACCTTCTAATTAAAATAATGATATTTTTTACAGAAATAAAACAATCACAATTGTTACACTGCACTAAAAAGCCAAAATTTAGAGTAATTTACAATAGTGGACATATTGTGAATAATTTTCTTTATAAAACGATCATACACATATGCACGTAATTCGTCCATGTATAACTGTTATACTTATTGCTCTTTAAGTTACATAAGTTTTATACCATAAAAATATCGTAAATAAAAGTAAATGGAAGCATAATAATAAAAAATAAATTATCATAAGTGAATTTTTCATATTTAAAAAATTATGAATAGGTAATGGAAAATTAAAAAAAAAATTATAATTTTTTTTTTTTATAAAATATGAGAGCAAATTAAAAAATGGTTTTTATATTTCAGTTATTTCTTTTTAGTTTCTTATCGTAGCAATTCGTTGAAAATTACACGTGCTTTTAAAAAGATTTAAAAGTAATAAAATTATTAATAAATTTAAGAAAAATTGAGGTTATATAAATTAAATATTTTGGAAAATATTTTATATTCACTGTATAGTTTTGCAGTACAAAGAAATAATTACTGTCTCCACTATAGTGGAGATTGCATTCTCACAACCTAACTGTTTCACACGTGTTTGCATGCTTTTCACATCCTCTCTTTCATCAAAACATAGTTTATTAGGAGAGAGGGTGTAAGAAGCACAAAGTAAATGCTGTTAATACGTTCGTCGAATACGCGTGTAAATAGGATTAATGTGCTCTTTCGCGCACTAAATTTAATTATGTAGTTATGTTTAGGAGAATAAAATTGAAAGTCAATTGACATTATTCTAATAACACAACATATAATCTGTTCGAATACAAATTATAATAAAATATGAATAAATGAGCGAGTTTTAAGAATTGATTTTATACGAATCCTCTTTCGTATGCAATATCATAGGGTCTCGTATGCAATACTTTTTATTGATATTTACATAAATAAAGTGTCTATAATTTTTATGGGATAGCTCTTAAAAAATTGGTGCGAATTTAAATTTAAATAAGAAATTTCACAGAAAAAAAAGAGTAGAACATTTAGCTAAAACAATAGTATAAATCACCTAATGAAATGCTTGATTTTCAGCCTCCTAAACTATTTAGCTACATTGCCTAATTTAAATTAGCTGAATTTACTTTTTAATAATTAGGAAAATTAACCAAATAAATTTGCTGATTTATCTACAATACTAGCTAAAATACCTAAAAATTTAGGTGGATTAGAACTAAGCAAATAGTCGTTTCACCTAATTATTTAGTTAATTTATTTTAAAACCTTTTTAAAATTTAACTAAAGAAATAGGAATTTCTCCTAAATAAGTAGTTAAAAAATATTCTCAACAATAGATAATATACCTAATTATTTAGTTAGAAAATAGAAAATATAACTATTTTTTAGTTAATTATAATAGGGTTTTTACCTATTATATTAGAAAAAGTATCTAAACAAATTAGGCTGTTTTCTAAATTTATTTAGGTTTAATCCTGAAAATAAAAGAATACTATAAATTAAAAATTAAGTTTTGCTTCATTTACGAGTAATTTTATTTTGTTTAATATTTTTTTAGTTATTTCACATTATTTTTAATGTAAAAACAAAAGATTTCTGTCCATCTACAATAAATTGAAGTTTTCCATTGCTTTTTTGTTTCGGCCACGTATGTAAAATTTTACCATTTGTGGTTTCAAAATAGCATTTAATAGAATAGTGGTAGTAGAATTTTTACAATCTATAAATCAAAAATAATAATTGTTATAGAACTTTTAAAAATTAGTCAAAATTTATTTCTCAAATTACCTTTGAATATCTTGTTATAAAATTGATAAAAGTTTAATGTTTTTCTGATACTTCCTTTTTATAAAAATTAATAATTTTAAGTTTAAAAGAATACCATTTCGAAAGAGTAACAAATTTTTCACTGAAAATGTTTTCTCGAAGTCAAATTCAATCTAAAATACATTTGAATATTTTTGGTTAGTTAAACAAAATAACTTGATTATATAAAAACTTACCAAAGAAGCTCCAAAATTTTGTTTTATAGAATAAGCCATTAATTAAAAATTTCATTCGAATATCGTACTGTGTTTTCTGCATAAAAAGTTGTTGGTATTACTTTTAATACGATTTTCACTGTTTTTATTTCTTGATTGTTTAAAATCTTGAAAATGTAAACTATGCTTGTTTACTATACCAATATTCACCATATACTAGCTTCTTTTCAAATACTTTAAAAATTAGAATACAAAAAAAGTAGCGGTATTTTGAATTTTTTTCTTGATAAAACAAGTGTTTTTTTCTAAATTCAGCTAATGTTTCCGATATTTCAACTAATGTTTTAGTTAATTCCTCTTTAAGTAAAATAATGTGGCCGAATTAACTGAAGTTATAGCTAAAATATGTAGAAAAGTAGTCATTGAAGAAGAAAAGTAGCGGTACTTTGGTTTTTTTTTTCTAAATAAAACATTTTGATCTTTTCACAACTCAACTAATGTTTTCGGTAGTTCAGCTAATGTTTTAGTCAATCTTTTGATATAAAATGAAATAGCTGAATCAACTAAAGTTGTAGTCAAAATATTTAAAAATATAGTCATTGATTAGGAATTTACATAAAAACTGTAAACTTATTTTTTTGTTTTCTTCTCTAAAATAACTAAATGTTTAGATGAAATATCTAATTAAATTAGTTGAACTTTTTCAACTATTTATTTTAGATAATACATCTAAATGAGTAGACAAATCACCTAATCTTTTTATTATTGCATTCAACTAATTCCAAATAGTTGAGCCAGCTAATAGTGAATTTTAAAACAGCTAAAGAAGTTGTCAATACTTCTAATTGTTTATATAAAACACCTAATTTGAAACCAGCTAATTACGATTAGTTGAAAAATCTAATTCATTTTTTTCTGTGTTTTCAATATAGTGCCGCCATTATTTTGAAATATGCAATATAATATTTAGCCTTATCTTTTGCGGAAAATTGAAAAGATTTTGAAATTATTAGGAAAAAGTGATAAATTTTTTTTTCAAAATTAATTTTTTTTTATAAAATTTTTCCTTTCAATATTTACGTTTACGGATGTGAATACAATTAACTGTTCCTTATTGTAATTAAAATTGTGTATTCCACTATTCATCTTTCAAAATCATCATTATGCTTTTGAGCGTTTTTCAATGATTTTTCTCTCAATCAATTTTAAATTTTTTTTTTCGCATTACGGCATAATCAAATAAAACACTCATACATTCAAGAGGCTCACATATGTATATTTTTGTAAATTTAATTAAAATTTAATTGAAGACACCGAAATGGTATGTTTTGGAAAAAAAAAAATTCTTGACATTGAATATTCAATCATAATCATTTTATGATTTCCTACTTACATACAAACATATGTGAGTATATGAAATTCAACAAGAATATTGAATGTTACCGCACATGTGCTGTGAAGTTGGGATTAAAATACTTTGTCATATTTATTTATCAAGGGCTCATCAAATTTATTAAAAAATAATTATGTTTTTAGTCTGTGCATAATTTACTTTACCTTTTATATAATATAATTAAATGCTTAAAATAATTGAAAAATTAAATAATAATTTTATAATTTTGATAATGACACTTTAAAGCTGTCATTTAAATAATGACACTTGAAATGAAATTAATAATGATTATTAAATTAATCAATTTTTTAAAGGCAGTCAATAAAACTAGCAAAGAATTTAAAAGTTATGTGTTCAGCTCAAATATTGTGGAAATAAAATTGAGGCTAGGCTTAGCAATTTTAAATTTTGTGATAATTTTTCAATGTTATGACTCTTCATGGGTACTTTGAATATGACACTTTTAATTAATTATAAGCAATTAGAAAACTTGAACTCATTTAAAAGTTAATCTTTAAAGTACGCCCTCTTGTGATAGAATATATTGGTTTGGACAACTTCTTGAGAACAATTGAATACTATTATAATACATTTACCATTCTAAATAAATTACAAAACAATTATACGTACATTTTAATTCAATTTATTAATTTTTTTTTCAAGAAAAAAGAAAAAATTTAGGCATATTTGACTAAAATAACTCAAGAATACACGTTTACAAATACAATATATCACAATAAAATAAATTAATTATGGTCAATAAATTTTGGTAGTTCCATTATTAATAATGATGGTGATGATGACCGTGATGATCATCGTGAGCGTAATGAGCTGCTGGTGCAGCAATAACATGTGCATGATGTCCTAATGGTTCACGATGTACTTCAGCATTAAAACCATTATGTGGATCAGCAGAATATTTTACGGTACGTTTAAAACCATCAGCATCAACTAAACTATATGATCCATGTACATTACCATGTCCATCAGCTGTTTCATGTTGATCTTTTACATCACCGGTATGACTATCATGTACACCATATTTAAAATCGTAGGGTTGTGGGGCACTATGATCGTCATGATGTTCATGATGACCATGATCAGCAACATAATGTAAAACAGGTCCATGATGTGCAACAGCTGCATGATGACCATCATCATGATGATAAACACCAGCTGATACAATGGTAGCGAATGCAAGTACAGCAATAATCTAAAATTTTATTATAAATTATAATTATTCCATTATATTATGTTATCCTTTATTGTTTGTGTGTATATGAACTCACTTTGTATGCCATTTTATTTTTATATTTGGATTTTTTGGCTAAATTTAATAATTTAGTTGTTAACTGAATTAAATTCAATGGTAAACTACATTTGATCTACACGACGTCAGTTATTTTTATACTATTCGTGTTGACCAATTATTATTGCTTTATAGTTAAGAAAAAATTTATAATGAAAATTTTACAAGAAGAAAAAGGAGAAAAAATAAAATAAAATTTTTTTTTTTTGTTTGGGGTATATAAAGCTAATCAATAATATACGAGTATACACACATACATACAATTTGTTTACCGTAATTAAATACAATAGCTTTACTTAAAGTTTTTATTTTGTTTTTCGTTATTTTAGAATGTGAATTATTTAATGAGGATTTAAGTACAAATGTTAAGTGAGGGTCACTCTCTATAATGCTTTAGACATGATTGAGGAACCAATTGTTTCTTTCTTATATACATAAAGAGTTATACATGCACACAAACATTTGTACACAATAAGCTGATAATAAATGAAAATGCAAATTTTTAGAAAATTTTTTGTTATAATTAATTAAAATATAAATTTATTGCAATTTAATTAATTTCATTAAATTAACGTAAATTTTATATAAATGTGTATGTATGTATGTAAATTTCATTAATTGCTCATTAGGTATATTTTATTATTATATGATAAAAGCGTTGATTTTTAGGAAATTTAAAAGAATTCAGTATTATTTTGAAAGTAGATAAAACATTGACAATGCTAAGAATGTTAGAATGTAGGTTATTGCAGAGAAAAGAATTTTAAAATATGTATATTGTAATTTCCGACGTCAAAAATCAAGGCTCACTTATTGATTAATTAAAATTTTAGTAAAATATTTAAGGAATTAGGATTTGAAAATTAAAAATTACAATCTTGTCAGCATCATATGCACTCTACATTCAGATAGGTTGTAGCTGATTTACGTAGATTTTGTTGTATACTATTGGATAAAGTGTAAGAAGAAAAGGAAGCTGCCAGCATTGAACGTTGGAATGATTTTGGTACTCCTTTACGGTTCAGGGAAGTAGCTGTGCGATGTAGACCTGTACAACCCGCAGGTCTTCATGAATAAGTGTTTAAAGAATATTTACAAAATATAGTTCGTATAGGTGCCGAGTAAAAGGCGGCCGATGTTATCTGATCAAACAAGATAACTGATAAAATTAATAGGGAATTCAATATTTGTCATTAGTACTAGACGGGCAGAAATCTGACGGGTGGGCGGGTAGGACAATAACCAGAAAGGGGGGGATAAAAATAAAGACATATAACGCAGGACATTGAACATATAACGTGGAAATCAAATCACATAACAAGTAGAACAGTATAAAAAAGAATATTCACTGTGTTAAGTCAGTGCTGGTTTGCGGAAACGGAAAGTGATTGGTGTCCAGGGTTAGCACCAAAAGCTACAGGTCTTCATTAATAAATGTCTCAAAATTATATTCAAAATATTCTGGCTATTAAGAATTAAAAAGCTGGAACTATGGGTATTGATGAGACAAGATTTAATAGAAAATTACGCAAGAAGAAGAAAGAATAAATTGGTTGAATTTTAAGACGTCCATTAACATCAGTGGCAACTCAAACCCTGGAATGGAACCCCAAACGGCAAAGAAGTATGGGGAGGCCAAAGGAGACGTGAAGATGAATATTCCCCAAAGAATTAGAGCTGATCAATAAAAAAATGAGAAAAAAATAAAGGGACTGACATAAAACAGAGAAAATTCTTATTCCCTTATGTTCCCTAGGTAATAACAACAGATGAAAAAATTTATGTGGTGGAAAAAAGCAGTATGGAAGCTACAATATCGACTCAGAAATTTTATAGCAATGATGTTGTCGTACCTATTAAATTCGAAGTTGTTATCTAAGAAGTATCCAAAGTTTAAAAAGTTTTGCTATCAGTTTTTTTAAATCATTTATGAAAAAGTTGTGAGCTGTTTTCATTTCGTTTTAGTGCTGAGACGTGTGTAAAAATTCACAGGATATGGTACACTATGCTTCAGATGGTTATTTTCCTCTGTCATAAAAGGAACGGTAAATTTTAAATATTGCTAAAATTTAAAAAAAATTAAAAGAGATTGAATTCTTATACAATTACATACTATGGTTATTATATGGTATCCTATAATTTTAATTAATACTTATAATATATAACGTAACGATATATATGATAAGCACAATGAGAAAATTTTTAATATTGCAATATAAAGGATACAAGCGAAAGTTAAGAAGGAGGTTAACGTTGAGGATTCGAAGATGCAGAAATTTGAACGAAACGCAATTTATAGCGAATTACTTTACTAAAATTAAGATGATCCAACAAAACGGTGATTTTGTTCAAACAATAATATTTTTCAATGACTGTAACATAAATTTTATCGAACGTGATCGACTACCAGTTTTAATTTTTCTAAGGAGCAAGAAGCAAATTTTATATTCATACAAAATAATCCTTTTCAGGATGTTATTTGATTGCTGCCATTTAAGGGTGTCATTTTTTCATCCAATTCATCATTTGAATTAGTAATCTGATCACTAAATCAATTACTTATCAACTTTAATAGAATAATTAAGATAGAAATAAAACAATATAGTGTTGAAAGTTTTCATGTGGTTATTAAAATGTAATTGTGAGTAAAAGTGAAAATTATTTGGAGAGCAATGTGTAAATTGATTCACCGAATGAAAATAAATAAGTTTCAAGTTATAGGGTCTAATAATAATAAATGAATATTTAAATAATAATTATCTTTAAAGTCTTGAATTTGGAGGTCCTTTATAAACAACTAATAAGTCTTATATAGTATAAACAAGTAGAGTACGCGAAGAGTGCACTGCGGTAATTAAATATTAAAAATTAAATTTCAAATTTTTTTTTTTTATTCATATTTTCAACAACAAAAATAAGTATAACTTTTATCACAACCGAAGAATCAATCATATACATTCGTATAAGGTAGTTTCCTAATGATGATGATGAGCATCATGAACATATACAGCTGGTGCTGGTGCTGCAGGTACATGAGCATGTCCTAAAGGTTCACGATGAACTTCAGCATTAAATCCATTATGATCATCAGCTGTATATTTAACTGTACGTTTGAATCCATCAGCATCAACTAAACTGTATGCCCCATGAACATTACCGTGTCCATCACCACTTTCATGTTGATCTTTAACATCACCGGTATGACTATCATGTACACCATATTTAAAATCGTAGGGTTGTGGTGCACTAAGATCATCATGATGTTCATGATGATCAGCAGCAGCATAATGACCTGATGCATGATGAGCTCCTTCATGATGGTATACTCCAGCAGATACAATGGTAGCGAATGCAAGAATAGCGATAACCTAAAAAATAAATTATTTTAAAATAAACCAATACAATCAATGAGTTAGAGGTGTGTGTATCCTTGTTTTGTTTTCTCTGATAGAGAAAGAGTTAAGTATCCAGTTTTAGAACTTACTTTGAATGCCATTTTTATGTTTTGAGTTTTTTTTTTTAAATTTGATTAAGTAACGTTGTTAATTGAATTAGATTCAATGAAAAACTACATACGTTATCTAAGGTGTTTGCCATTTTTATACTCTCTAATTTTGCAAATTTCAAAAAAATTTTTTAAAAAAAATTTTTGAAATTTGTTGTTGTTTTGTTTTTTAGTTTTGGAAATTAAATTGTTTGTGTACCTAAAATGAAAATATGAAAAAGAAAGATTGAAATGACGTCAAGTTTGATTGAATAATCTGAGATTAAAATGAATGACTGTTTTTTTGAGTCTCTTTTAATAAAAAATCACTTGTATGTAAACGTAATTAAATGATATTCTATGAGGACTTAATTGCAAATATTTTTCAAGGTCTTATTGAAATTTGCAAAATTTTTTTCTTTATTTAATAAGGTATTAAAAATTATTTTTATATTGTAATTTTACCAATAAATTCTTATATAAGCAAATATTGAAGTGCAAGATTGAATGAGTGTTGTTCGATATTTTTGACTTACGTTTTCTGTAATTGAGTAATTTCAATATCCTAAGGCTGTTATACCGTCTATAATATATCAATTTTTTTGCAAAGTATTTATATAGTAATTTGAATATATAAATGCGATAAATTAAAAAATATGTTGCCCACCCTAAAATATCGACTAAGGCTATTTTGGAACAATTTAGATTAAGCGGTTACTAGAGTTGGCTTGTCAATTCGAGTAAATATAAAATTCGGTAAGAAATTGGAAATCCGATTCAATACCATATATTTTATAATTCTAATAAGGGAGCTTATGTCATGGCACGAAATTTTGCATGTCGAGTTTTTGGCGAAAATGCGTCCGTATGTTAACTACTGTACTTTAATATTGGTTTTGTTACACGGATAATAACTTTTAGGATATGTCAGTTCTTGGGAAGTTGGTCTTCAATACGGGCCAATTTTAGAATTTCGAAAAATTTATAAAGAAAATATTTTATAGATTAATTTAATTTAATAATCTACTATTTTTTGAGTAAATCAGATGTTAGCAACTGAGCTTTTAGTACAGCCTTACGGTTTTTCCGCATATACTTCCTTGAAACTAAATTTTTCAACTTAATACATATTTTAAAACAATGAACTAGTAAATTTTTTTGGGAATAGCAGAGTTTGAGAACAGAAATTTCCCTTCTTGAAATTTAATAATTCAGATCTGTTAATATCTAACTATCCAATTGTTTAGACTAGAACTAACCTAAGAACTTTTTAGTGAATTCGAATGAAATAAAGTGAACCTGTACTAAGAATAAAATTTTTTCAGGTATATTGACTAAAAATTTACCAGTGTCAGTAAAATTTTGAGTGAAGTATTTTAAAAAAATTAAAGAACATTTTCATAATTTTATTCAAAACTTTCTCCAAATCCGAAAATACGTTTTGTGTTCGGCAATGTTTTTTCCACATAAATTTTTTTGAAACAAAAGAATTTTCAAAGAATAATTCGAATTTATAAGAAATATTAATTTTTCCTGAACAATACGAATATACAATTTATTTGTGCTGAAACTCCATTTGATACATGTGTGATATGTCAAGAAAGATGCATATAGAGGTTGCATACACATGAATTACATATTTATATATTTAGTCGAATTTTGAATAAATTTAAATATGTTTGTCCATCCAGCCGTTCGTCTGTTAATATTGTGTATATCGAGGCAGTCTTTGAACTAACTGTCAACAAACTTAGTTGTAAATCAAAAACTATTGAAAGTATCGAAATTTTTATGAAACTATCAATAGACACAGAATATGAAATAGGCCATTATTTTGCATAACATCGTTAAAAGGGTATGTGTCCTAACGGTAGCTGCAATACAACTTCTAAAGTATTCGGTTCTTTGTTAATGCAACTGTTTATGCACTTGTATTTTGCACAAACAAATGCGATAATATGGCAATTTTTTTTAAGATAAAAGGCATCAAGGTTGTATATGCCCATGTGTGGTAATTGCCATGTAATTTAAAACGTTCTAAGTCATTTTTAAAATATTATAGTGTTACAGTTGAGTGCGAAGTATATTGATATAAAAAAAAAATAATAAGCTCTTAACAAAAAAAAAATTATCACTTAACAGTACTTGCAATTTATCACAGAGTTGACGCGTTATCCTACAATTCTGTTTTCCCCTTTAAGTCGTTTTTGTAATCTATTATTTCAATAAGACAAGTAAGAAAGATCATATACTTTTTGCATACTCATTACTGTAATTAAACAATTATATTTTTTTTTCTTAGAGTTTCTCGCTTATGTCTTTTGATGAGAACAATTTGGGAGTCCATGGACTTACGTGCTTCAATTAATTATTTTCAAAGTGCATTGTACTAAAAAATAATTGAAAAAATATGGTTAAATAATCCAAATTTCCTCTTACTCTTCAATTATTCATTTTTTTTCAATAATTTCAACAATTTGAAAAAAACTTTTTGCTGCAATATCTGAATTGGAAAAGCCTGAATTCTTGTAAAACGTTTTTTAAATTTAGAGGTAAAAAATTTGAAATTGTTGCAGAGTTCTAGAAATAGAAAATTTTCGCACAATTATCATTTTAATTCTCAATTTGGTAATTTGCAATTTTCAATGCAAGCTGGCGTAATTAGTCGCTCTTTACTTATGTTGCTTGTATAGTGTTTTCATCACTATTATTGTTTTCTAATATGTACTCTAATCCGAGCCCAAAGATATAAGAATATTTAAACAAAAAATATTTTCATAGAATAAAAAGAAATTCATTTTGAACAATTTTATTGAATTTAATATTTCCACAACAATTAAAAATTCTAACCATAAAATCTATTAAGCATACAAAAAAAAAAAAAAGTCAAAAAGCAAAATTCGATTGTCAATAGGATAGAGTTCCTCATTTATTCTATATATACATATACATACATGTAAATATATACTGTATAATAGGAAGAAAAACTAACGAAGAAACAAAACAGTCTATATATATATATTGATTTATCAATAACATGCTCTTAATGATGATGATGAAGATGATGAGCATCATGAGCAATATATAAAGCTGGTGCTGGTGCTGCTGCAGCAACTGCAACATGTTCATGATGATGTCCTAATGGTTCACGATGTACTTCAGCATTAAAACCATTATGTGGATCAGCAGAATATTTTACGGTACGTTTAAAACCATCAGCATCAACTAAACTATATGATCCATGTACATTACCATGTCCATCAGCTGTTTCATGTTGATCTTTAACATCACCGGTATGACTATCATGTACACCATATTTAAAATCATATGGTTGTGGTGCACTATGATCATCATGATGTGAATGATGATGATGATCACCATGACCAGCATGTAAATGTAAAACTGGTGCTGAATGATGTACTAAAACTGGTTCATGATGATAAACACCAGCTGATACGAATGAAATTAATGCAAAAGTGATGATTACCTATATTAAATTAATATTAATGATTAATCCTTGGCTTATACGAAATTCTAATAAAAAATCTAGGCTTACTTTAAGTGACATGGTTTATGTTTTTTTTGATTTTGATACTTCTGGTTGTTGTTAACTCAACAAAACGTATATGGAAACTATAATTGGTTTAATGAATATCAGTTACTTTTATACTATTTTTTAACTTTTTTTTCAATTACGTATTCAATTGTAAATTTTTTGATATTTCTTTTTATTTTGGTTTTTTTGTTGTTGTTTTTTGTTAAATTTTTAAAATTGATTATTAATAATTTTTTTATTTTCTTATTAATGTTTGGTTATGTTATTTGCAAAGTTTGATTGGAGGAGGATTATATAATGCAAGATGTTTGAAGGACAATTTTATAGATGTAATGAAAAACAATCAAAAAAAAATATTAAGAGAGTGCCATATTTTATTCTTGTATTCTCGTTATAAATATGTTTTGATTACAAAAATTCGATAATAATTCATTAAAATTCGATGTTCGAAAAAAAAATAAAAACAAAAATCAATATTGGTACTTTATACAAATGAATATTTTGTGTGACCTTTGCATTATTAAAATTTTTAATAGAAAGAAGAAGAAAAACCAAAACAAGAAATCAAATCTATTAAATTGATATTCTTAACTGATTATTGAAAATCTTATATTAATTGGTACTTTAGATATAGGCTTTTTGGTGTGGCATCCCATTGTTGTGTAGAGTATATTAATAATCAATAATATTGTATTGTAATTATTTAAAAATTGATATTGTTGATAGGCGTCATTTGTATATAACATTCATGTACTTGGAATTCTCATATTTGAATAAGAGATTCAGAAATCAGTAAATTTCCTAAAATTTTTATTATGAATGAAATAATTAAATATTATTGAGAAAAATAAGAGACGATTCACACAGAATAGTTATTCATTTTGGATTTGAAGAGAGTAAATTTTGAAAACGATACTCAATAATAATGACGGCCATATTCTATATATGTTCTTACTACTACAAACTTTCGCGAGCTGAAAATAAATTCCAATAAGTGTAAATTTAAGAATTCTAATTCCATTTTATAAAAAGTAATATATTGAATTTGGAATATTGAAATATTATTAAGGAACTGCCGTGATATCTGCATCTTTGTTATGCAGAGCCTGTTAGTTATTGTACACGGTTAAATAAACTAAAAATCGATTAAAATTAAATATTTTTTTTTATCTCTTTTGTAAATAGGCTAAAGAGTCTTTTCTGTGGTTGCCTTTCAGAATCGGTTTTCATAATTACACTTTGAAATTTTTTTGTGATATATGATCTCAAAGAGATGATTTTCGACAAAACTTCCGAAAAAAATTTTTGGGTAATTTATCACTATTTTTCCGACAGCTGAAATGAAAAACGATTTGGAGAAAATTTTCCGGATCTAAGAAGCTATAATATCAAAATTTTTTAGTGTTCGTTTTACTATAAATCGTATCGAATGCCACTTGTTTAAAATCGTTAGTTCATTTATAGAATGACGTGGATTCCTTATATGGATTTATGCATGTATTATAAAATTATTTTATAGACTTCACAAAATCTTCTTCAAATTGCTTCTTCATTTCTGTTTATATAAAAATATTAATAATATGAAGTTAGAATTAATGGTGTTCTATACTTGTATTATGTAGTACAGGCGCAAAATGAATGATTTTAGATCTTAGGAAGAATTGTTGAAAACCAAATATCACTTAATAATATTTTATATGTCCGGATAGAGATGCTTCTATTCTTAGTAGTTAGACGAGATATTTTTGTTTAGTTTAATTTATTATTTTTAAAATAATTTTATTCAAGAACAATAGGATTTTGTTTTCAAGAAAATTATTTACAATAATTCAAATTTTGGAAAATTTTTTGCTAATTTGAAATGTAATTATTTTGTATCTTCTAATAAATCAATTTATTTTGAAAAAAACTTAGCCCTTTTATTATTTTACTGAGCCCATTTATTATTATATTTGAATTCTAATTTAATAGATTTTCATTCCACTGAATGGAATTTAGATTGAAATTCTTAAAACAATTGTATAATTTATCATTTTTTTTCGTTTCGAACAATCAAAAGAATTGAAACAATTTAGGTTTAGGGTGAAAGCATTGGAATATAGAAACCCATTACTTTCAATTTGTAATTCAAATTACAATAATGTTATGGTAGATTATGGTTTTTAAATGCTTTATTTTATTATGGTAATTATTACAATTTAAAATTATTTTAATGGTTGATTTCTTGCAATAGATTGCATAATTAAATTTTTGTTCTTCTTGTTTAAAAAATAAATACGAGAAGAAATGAGAGAAACACAAAATATATTTTTTTTTCTATTCTATTTAAAAATATTTGTTTGGTCCCATATTATTTGAATTATTCGACCTCTAAGAGAGGATTATAATAAATTTATCTATCGGTTGTTGAAGCACCTGTTATTAGAATTTTGTAGATAAAAATAGAAAAATGTAGTTCATAATAAATTTTCATTTTTTGAGCCTTCTATCCATTTAACCGCCAACCATTATAGTGTAAATCAGACTTTAAAACGTGTTGCTCTGTTTCTTCCAATTGTTGAAATTTTTGAAAGTTGTCTTTGTGTATGTCTGTGTTTTAAATTTTTGGAAATCTTCTTTCTTCGTATTACTGCCTTTGTATATTTAAAACGTTCTATTTATCATAATTTTCTGATAATGTTATGCCTACTGCCATTGTCAAATTCTATTTCTTGATTCTGTTCTTCCTTCAGTTACGTGAAAAGGAACACGGAACACATTCTTACCAAATTCTATTTTTACATTTCATGTTACATTCTCGATACCTTACACTCGAATAGAGCGAAATGAGGCATTCTCCGCTTCAAGGCTTCGTGATCTCGTATATATATTGTGTTTTGTTTCCTTGCTAAATTTGTCGTATATATCCTTTATAAGTATACAAGTATTATATTAATTAAAAAAACGCCAGCGATTACTAAGAAAACAATTTCTGAGATCGTGTTGATAAGAGCACTTAATAAAGTTTTTCTGCATTGTAGAGGCATTAAGGCCGTTTTATTATTACAAAATTCATTAATATCAGAAGAGAGTTGAATACACAAAATCAAATGTACTTATATAGAAGAAAGAATGAAAGAACATTATAAGGGTGAGTGAATAATTCATTGATAGAGTGTCTTTTATTTACTGTAATAGTAGAATGTTGTCTGTTAAGATACCTTCTCAATATTTGATTATATACACGAGGTGTGGTTAAGGGTTATAAACGTGAAACGTAACAAAATAGTAATAGCATATACATAGGTTATAGTAGGTCTTAAAAGATCACAGAATAGAAGTAAAATCTTATAAAATTCCTACATTGCTTTATACAAAAAGTTTCTCGCTTAATTCTTTTGTTTTACTCAATTTTTGTATTGGAGAATTTCAAACTTACAAAAATAAATTAATAAAAACGATTACAAATTAGATTAATAAAAAAACTTTGTAAAGATTGCTCGGTTGATTCACCAGTGTTAGAAAACAGAATTCGGGTAATGGAATTTACGTTTTGGATTAAAGTATCAAAGATATTATTAAGAAGGGCCACAAAATTAACAAATCATTGAATTTTTTTGTTAATTTAATTAAAATAGAGCAATTTCAATAATAGTATCTATTTTCAATGTAGGGCAGTCAGTTTTATTCTCTATTTTGTATTATAGCAGGTGCATAATTCTAAATGCGGTCATTCGAGTTTTGTATGATGCAATTGAGCTATAAAATTATTAATGGTCGTCAAAAGCTTAGCCCCAAAAATTATTTGAATATTAAAAATTAAAAAGCATAAAATTTCTTTTAAAATTTCAACATTTTGTTTTTTTTCTTCATTTCGTAAAAAATAAAATTGTAATACTTTTTTTTTTATCTAAATTTTTTTTTTCAGTGTAATAGAATAAATAAAACAAATAATTTGGATGAATGATCGTTTAAAAAAAATTAAGAATCGTAACACTTCTTAGAAGTGATGATGACCATCATGAGCATGATGAGCTGGTACTGCAATAACATGTGCATGATGTCCATGATGTCCTAATGGTTCACGATGTACTTCAGCATTAAAACCATTATGTGGATCAGCAGAATATTTTACGGTACGTTTAAAACCATCAGCATCAACTAAACTATATGATCCATGTACATTACCATGTCCATCACTTGATTCATGTTGATCTTTAACATCACCAGTATGACTATCATGTACACCATATTTGAAATCATATGGTTGTGGTGCACTATGATCATCATGATGTGAATGATGATGATGATCACCATGAGCAGCATGTAAATGTAAAACTGGTGCAGCATGATGTAAAATAGCAGCTGGTGCAGCATGTACTATTTCAGTATGATGTGCTGGTGCATGATGTACAAGTACTGGTTCATGATGATAAATACCAGCTGATACAACGGTAGCAAAAGCTAAAATAGCTGCAAACTAGAAAAAAAAAAATGCGAAAAATATTCCATTAATTTTTTTTTTATAATCCTTTTTGTTATATCCTTTTTTGTTTTGGTTGAACATACTTTGAATGCCATTTTTAATAATAATTGTTTTTTTTTTTTTATTAAAATTATTGAATTAAAATCAAATGTTGATTCTATAAGATTCAATGGTAAACTACACCTGATTTATTAAATTCCAAGTATTTTTATACTCTTGACCGCTTTCAGTACATACCAAAATTTTTTCCTATTGCAACATTGTAATTTTTTTTTTTTCATTATCTTTTAGAAATATTTTAAATAAATTTTTCAATAGTTAAACTCGCGATATAATAGCAATTTGAATGACTTGAGCTTTTATCGATTCTGAAAAGATTTTAAGTAGCATTATAACGCGTGTAAAGCGTATAGATTTAACGAGGATTAAAATGCGAATGTGAAGGTCAATTGAAAACACAACTTTATTATTTTATTTTTTTTTATTGGTTGTCTTTTTACCGACCGTATTGTGTAAACAATAGGTAGGTTATGTGATGGCAACAAATTTTGCATATCGAGTTTTCGGTGGGAACGTACTTCTCCATAGTAGGGAAGTGTAAATAAACTATTTTTAGCAACCTGTCGGTCTGTCGGTCTGTCGGTCTGTCGGTCTGTCGGTCTGTCGGTCTGTCGGTCTGTCCGTCTGTCGGTCTGTGTGTGCACGCGTGTATCTCAAGTTCGGCTGAACCGATTTTGATGAAATTTTATATGTAAGTTTGTTTCCACCATGGCACGGATCGATCAACTTTTGGTATATATCACGCCTCGGGAACTGCACTTTTTAGCGGGCCTGTTTTACATTTTTGAACATTTTGAAGAAACAATTCAACCGATTTACTTGAAATTTTATATATAAGCTCAGCTCGACCGTCCGCAAAAATTCGTATGTTTTGGAAGAAATCAGACATCGGCAACTAGACGTTAACTACGGGCCAAATATACATTTTTGTGTATATAAAGAGAAATAATCAACCGATTTCATTGAAATTTGATATATGAACTCCTCGTATTAAAGCAATGAACATATAAATTTTTTGGAAAGATCAGGGCTCGAAAACGGATTTGCGGGCCGATTTTACATTTTCACCATTTTGAAGAAAGTATTCAACCGATTTACTTGAAATTTCATATATAAGCTTTGCTCGATCATACGCAAAAATTTCTAACTTTTGGAAGAAATCAGGCATCAGCAACTGGCCGTTTACTACGGGCCAAACATACACTTTTGTGTATATAAAGAGAAATAATCAACGGATTTCATTGAAATTTAATATATGAATTCCTCATATTAAAGCAATGAACATATAACTTTTTTGGAAAGATCAGGGCTCGAGAACTGATTTGCGGGCCGATTTTACATTTTTCATCATATCCACAGAACAAATTGATGGAATTTCTTGAAATTTGATATTTGAGTTCTGGTTGTTACCGAAACTAACTGGCGAGCATTTCAGGGAATTCGGGTAGCACAAAGCGAAACTCTACTAAGAGCCAAATTTACATTTTTCTAAGTATGTTAACTATAAGCTTACTAATGTCCTAAAAATTGGAAAGAAGTATTTAACAGACATTTTTATAATATTGTGTAACACTTTCATTTAACTAGACAATACACAATGCGGTCGGTTATGTGCTGACCACATCAGATTTTTTAATTTGGTATATTGCCAAAGGGCAAATTAAAAAAATGGTTACTTTTGTTGTTCTTTTTTGGTTTTCTCATGGTTTTCTTTTATGAGCGAAATAAAAGAAAGCTTATTATTGATAATTTTTATTTCTTCTCAATTTCATGTACCTATAATAGACAATTATTGTAAAATAGTTAAAAATATGAAATTAAAATTTTTTGTATACAAAGATCAATTGGGATAAAAAATATTTAAAAAGTAAAAATTATATTCAAAGTAAAATTGAGAAATTTTTTAAAAATTCTTTAAATAATTTTTGATTATTTTAAATATTTTTAGATATACGCTTTGGAATGTCATTTGAAGCAATCAAATTGGTAATGCAATGTGGAAACTGATATAGGCTTAAGGGTAAGTCAAATTTAAATTATAATTCTACAGCACATTCAAATGAAATCGAAATTATTTTTATCTTTCTCAATTACATTTTTTAAGCTTCTCAGCTATTTGATTTAATAAAATCAAAAAAAAAAAAAGAAAATTTATGATTTGCCTTTCGTAACCATTAAAATTTATTTTGGGAACAATAAGAACACAGATATAATATAAAAAATGTAAATGTATCGCTGTACTTCAACTGTACACCTGTGACAATTTACAAATGGAAATTATAACGAGGGAAACATTTACTAGATTTGCAGCAATGCTTCTTAGAATCTCCGTAATTATTGTATTTTTTTTTAAATTTATTTTAATTACATGGTTTCTGTGGTTTTTATGTCTATTTTTCTGAGGCTCAGAAGCAGAATGGTATGATTCATGTTTGCGTTTTATTAGGAAAAAAACATTTTAGAAAATGCAAATTTTTGAAATAGTTTTCGTTTTTTAAGTAATGACCTCAACCACCTGCTCACCGTTTTTGAATTTTTTTTTTGGTATTCCATTTAACGTTGTATAAATTTTGAGCTACGCCATTTTGGCTTTTATTCATATATACTGATATATAATGGGGGAAAAAAATCATAATGTAAAAAAATTGTAAATGAAAAAATTGTAAATGTTTAAACTTCTGCTTTTTGGTTTTCGACGTGCTACATCAATAGTTTGCAAGTTCAGATATTTTAGTTTTCATGTCACACATAAAGTTTGTCAGGTAAAGCTGTATAAATTCAGTTCTAATTCAGCTTTCATATCAAATGCGAACTAACCCTTATTTTTAGTTTAACTTGCAAATAATTTTCATATTTTATAAGTGTTCAAAAAGTATTTCGCTATACTATGGCGTCTTCCAGGTATACTAACATTATTTTTGAACATTTTTATTTCTTACGAAATTTTTGAATTTTAAAATTTTTTTTTTTAATTTCAAACATATTAGAAATGGCAGTCTTATGTCGCATGTCAATTAATAATTTGGTAAATTTTGCAAAAATTTTTTTTATCTTCCTATAATATTCTTTTTTTTCTATGTGAAATTTAAATTTAAAAATTTTAATTAACTATTTTCTATTTTTGGAATTTATTATTACATTTATAAAATTTCGTAATCTAAAATATTATTAGAAGTCATTGAAAATATTTTAAATGCAACTCATTACAACTCTTAAATTATTTTAATTTTTTTAATTTCCATCATTCTTCTTCCAATATTCGCGTATAATATATTTAATATTATTAAAACTTCCTAATTAATGCTGTGCTAATGCCAACATACAAGGAGAATGAAAATAAACAAAAAAGTAAAAAAAAAATAGCTTTAAACCAGTGAAGCGCTTCATCATTATTTCTTTTTGAAGTTCTTAAATGACGTGCTTTACTTGTATATGTGCGTTTAACTTAATATATTGGAGTAATTGAGTTTGTAAAGATATTTATGCACAATATAGTTTTAATTAAGATGCAACATTCATTAATTAATAAATTTAAATGTATAAATTTTATTCGCCACAATATAAATAAAAAAAAAAACATATTTAAAACCTTCTTTATTATTATTACTTTTTGCTCTTTGACATATTTGTTCACTTGAAAAGCGAATAAATTAATGTGATGTGAGCGCAGGCTATGTTCGATAGCATTTCGTATATTTCTGAAATAATATTATATCTATAACAAATACTAATAAATAATATTATCGTATAAATTTAGCGATCAGTTGAAATAATAGGTTAGTTTCGCGAGGATAGGAATGTTAAGGTATTTTGAAGTTGGTAAATAAACCACTATTTAATGTCCCTTTAGAAAAATTTTTAATTTGCCTCTAGAAATTAGGTTTTTGGAAAATGCCTCTCTTTATGTAATCCAATTCCTCCGAAAAAAAATAGTACTTGTGTCCAAAATTGAATTGTAAAATTTCAAGAAATTTAATTATATTTTAAAAGGGAAATAACACCTTAGAGCACATACGAGTCATAAGAGTCAATTTTACGCAGAAAATATAATATGGTCAAAACTCAAGAGTGTGAAATTAATTTTCAGTAAAACTTCAATTTAATTAATTCGTCACTGTTTTAAGATAAATCCGCGGTAGTATCCCAATTATTCCACTTCTTGCGCTTTTACTTTGACAACTTACACTCGGGTAAAAACTTCATCACATATCACGATAAATGAAAAAAACAGAGTTGTAAAAGCAGTTGAACCATGCATTTATTAATTTGCGATGAAAGCGTTGAATGAAAGCGTTGCAATCTATGGAATAGTACGTTAAGATATAATTTTTTTACGAAAATAACTTTAGTAAATTCAACATACAAGAATCGAATGCAAATAGTGGTACATATCGACACAGAAATACATACAACAACTCAAAAGGCACACTAGAGGAAAATTATTCAAAAATTTTCCAAAAATTTGATACGATTACAATACCTCTCTAATTTCTTTTAAAATGCAGTCAATAATAATTGAGTAGAAATTGAATTGTAAAATTATAAATTGAACCTTTAGGCTTTTTTAAACAAAATTAATTTATAATTTCTCACACATAAAAATTTAATATTAATCGAATGTTTTAATATTAAAAAATAAAATCTTAATTGAGTTGAAAAATTAATAAATTAATAAGGTATGAAGAAATTAATTTTATTGCTTTCAATTTTAATAATATTTTATTTATAAGTAATTTTTTTATAAATTTTCTTAAATTTATTATAGTTGCTATATAAGTGCAAGCTTGCATTATTGTATTTTGAAAAATTTTCATTGTGTCAAGGCGCATACAGTGTTATTGAATATACCGTATTACAATTGAAATGCATGCACAATATAAATTTATTATGAAGGAGTTCGATTTAAATTAGTGATTATCAATTGAAAAAATAAATAAATTATTCATAACTTGACAATGTTGCTGATATAACTGTGAACCATAGAAGAAAAATATCAAATTTATTAATTTATCTCTGTTGGATCTGAGAAAAGAAAGTTGTGACATAAAATATAAGCTGGTGTTTGTTCCGGCATGCTCCTTACTACCTGTATAGGCGAGGAAAGTCTGACTCCCCCCTGTGCAGATTTTGTTAGCACTGTGACGAAACCACCGTGCACATCCTTCGCGACTGTCCGGTACTGGCTGTTCGGCGCCTCAATTGTCTTGGACATGGGTTCCAAAGACTAATGGGAGCATCGGGGGCTACAATAAGACAGGAATGGCTGCGGTGGCTCGGTGGGTTACTCCTACCGGTTCCCTTGAAATCTACAAATCAAATTGGGGTTTAAAAATTTCCAACCAATTGCACATTAACATTGCACATTATTGGTACAAGATATCTGTTTTTATATGGAAATTTCTAGTTCCTTAACATTATATCTCTTTACGGATCCATCATTTTTTTACTTTTAAGTCACAATAAATTTTCAACAAAATCACTGATCGTCTTCTTAGTTTGAATTTTGTTGACACAAAAATTTGTTAACTTTTGTTGACTATAGGGAATGGGTTTTTTATTTTTTCTTTTTATATCATCTCGGTAGGAAATTTTCCTGTTAGTTCTTATAGTGGTGCAAGGAAGCTATTATATGTAATTTTTGAAAATTTAATTTATTTATTGAACATGAGTTAGATCATAGTGTGTTAGGAAAAAATTGGTATTTAATGAGATTCTTTTAACAACCTTCTCTTTGCAATTAAAAATATGTGGATAAATTTGCGTTGCTCAGTGTTATTCCGTTAAAATATTCTATATGTATAGTTGATTAACCATAATATTATTACCCTTCATTTATACTTCCGGTTCTTAGCTTTATACTTGCACTTTATCATGCGATTTGGGCAAAAAATTGGGGAAAATTTTAATAATTAAAAATAAATTAAAAAATATTTTTAAATTTCAATAAATTTCTTTAATTTAAATTCAAATTTTTTTTTTTAAATTTTCTTTTTTCTTTCTTTATACAAAATATTTATATAATATGACAAAAAAAAAACAAAAAAAAAAATTATTTTTTATGTTATAAAAAAGCACGTTGTTGTTTTTTTTTCTCTTCTCGTTGTTTTAATGAAATTTATGAATAGAATCACATATGATGGCTTAAAAATGAAAGTAATAAAATATATATATATAAAAAAAATCTCCTAAGTAAAATATAAATGTTCATACAAATACAAGTAAATATATGCACACACATACATATATGCACATTGTGAAAAAAAATTTATTAAAATAATTCCGGAAACTGTTGCAGTTATCCTTTTGTTTTTTTTTCCTTTTCTTATACTTTTCGCTCAGTTCTAATTTTAATTTGAATAAAATAATACAATTGTAATAAAATAATTAAATTAAATTATATATATATATATAAAAATACATATACATATTTTATATATAAAATAATTAAATAACATAATAATAATTATTAAAGGTAGTCTCAGTGATAAAAAAATATCCTTAAAATAAAAAAATTAAAAAAAAAAAAATTAAACGAAAACATAAACAAAATAATTATTTAACATTTTCATGATAGGAGGCGTCGGCGGCAGCGGTCATTATTAAATTTTCCCAAAAATATAGGAAAAAAAAATTTTTTCATTACCATGATCTTTGATCATTATATTATACAAGAATTCAATTCAATATACGTTCGTATTAATAATGATGATGATGATCATAATGATCATGATGTGCTATTGGTGCTGGTGCTGCAACTGGTATTGGTGCTGGTGCTGGTACTGGTGCAACATGACCATGTCCTAATGGTTCACGATGTACAACAGCATTAAAACCATTATGTGGATCAGCTGTATATTTAACAGTACGTTTATAACCATCTGGATCAATTAAACTATATGATCCATGTACAGCACCATGTCCATCACTTGATTCATGTTGATCTTTAACATCACCGGTATGACCATCATGTACACCATATGAAAAATCATATGGTTGTGGTGGTGCATGATGTTCTATATGATGTGCTGCTGCTGCTGCTGCATGATGTAATAATGCAGGATCATGATGATATAATGGTCCAGCTGGATCACCAGGATGATGTCCTCCATGATGATGATAATCACCAGGTAATGCTGTTGTAAATGCAATTAATGTTAAAACAGTAGCAATAAACTGTAAAATAGAAAAGAAAAGAAAAGGGAATGAAAATTAATTGAATTTTCCAAAATTTTCTTTTAATTTTTCTTGTACATTTCTTAACTCTCAATTATGTAATTTTTGAGGTTATAACTGTTTTCTTATAATTTTTTTTTTATTTATAAGATCAAAAGTTCAAATATTTTTTGTTTCTTTATTATACTTTCGAAATCCATAATAAATAATAAAATTTTTTTTTTATATAAGAAAGAGTAGAAGAAGAGAACAAGCAAAGAATAGTTTTACAATCTGCTTGTTATGTAACAATTGGTAATTCGTTATGTAATAGGTTGTAATCCATTCTTTTTGGTTTTGTTTTATTGCAAATCATGTATAAAATTTATTTTAAAATGAAGTTGCACCTTTTTTTTTTTGTTATGAGAACAAAAATTAAAAAAAAAAAATAAGATTAAATTGTTGTAATTTCAGAAAATTTTTAAATTATAGGTATAGAATTCCGTTCGTAATAAGTTTTAGGAATTCGACGAATGAGGTCGAATTTCAATCCCATCTACATTGCAAATAGTGAATCATTTTCTGAATATTCTAAAATGTGTTAGATGCGTTATTAATAACGTTAAGCGATACTGGTTTCGTTCTCTACATGAGGCTGCATAAGTGAATGAGTCGGGATTATATTTGCAGTAGTTTAGGAGTATTTTGTTATTGGAACACTCTGATTTGTACGATTTAGTGTTTGTTTTTCACACATAAAAGTATTTAAAGCCATCTACTGCAATAAATTTTTGGAAACTGATTTCTATTACTTCTGTAGACTAGCATAGCTGCGAAAGTGTTTGGAGTATTATATACCCTTAAATGGGAAACAAACGAGTGTGTAAACGTAAAAATTCATTTGTAATAATTGAATTTCAAATGTAAATGGTGAATTCCAAATGCAATCGTTAACACATTCTGTTGAACAATATATGATACTTCAAGCTCATAACACGGTTACTTAGGTAAAACTCATGTACAGGATTTAAGTTTCATTGAATTATTCCGATAGATTATTTTATATTCTTATGTGAAAAGAAAATATGTATATGAAATCCTTTGCATTTAAATTTACAGGTTTTAACTTCTTTGTAACAAAATTTCTCTATAAAACCGTATTCCATTCGCAGCCTACTCTCAACTGTTCCACGTATTCAATTTGAAATATCGTATATCGTCACAAGGCATCGTATTGATTAATTTGTATTTCATCTTAATTTATTTTTATTTTCTCAATAAAAAATTTCACTAAAACCACGAATATTCCACAAAATTAGAATGTTGCGCCTTGTTCAACAATAATAAATAACGAAAAGAAGAAGCGTAGGTAATCCTCAGTTTATTTCGAATCGTCCTAATTAGTGCATGGCAGTCAGTTTTTTTTTTTTTTGAATATTTTGATAATTTATTAAATTTTATGAAAATTTTCTTACTTTGTAAGCCATTGTTAAAATTTTAAATGAAAATTTTTTAATATTTGAAATAACAAAAAAAAAAAAAATTCTTTTAATTTCACTAAATTGTCGTCGTCGGCTTTCGATTTCGATTTCGGCGACTTATTGTATGTTGATTCTATTCGATTCAAATGCAAACTACATTATTGTAACTGATTTCGATTACTTTTATACCTTTAAGAGTTTTTCTGTTTTTTTTTTTTTGCTTGCACTTACTGTTCTTTTTAAAGTTTAATTTTAGATTTTTTTCTTTTATTTTTCTTCTACAATTTTTGGGAACACAAAATATTTTCTTCTTGATACCACTAACAAAAAAAAAAAATTTTTATTTTTTTCTTTCGAGTTTTTAAATTGCTTTTTCTTTAACTATTATTATTGTAGTTAAATTTAAAGTTAGTAAGTTTAGATGGCTCGTTTAGTACTCTTTTAGATCGCTATAAATCTAATATGTTTTTTTTTGTGTTTCTTGCGTTGTTTCTTTTTTGCTGCGCTTTGGTTAAGGCCGCGCAGTAAAAATTATAGAAAATAAGAAAAAAAAAAACCGAGGAAAAATTGAAAAATAATAAGAAGAAAAATTTAACAATTGAGTTTTTTCTATACCAATTGTCTGTGCTGCAATGAAGCGCATGACTTTTGCAAAAAAAAGCAGAAAAAATAGAAAAAAATTACAGTGTTTTCGTTTATTCTCGATTGGCTTATTGTTGTTTTTATTATTTTTCTGCTTATTTTAACCAATTTTATGGTGTATTTTGGTAAAAAAAAAAATTATACCAATTCCAATAAGATGCTGTTTAATTTATCTATATATATATATATAAATATTTTTTGGTGTTGAATTCATTTGTTGTTGCTGTTGTTGTTCTGATTTTTAATTTTTTCCTTTACTGTTTTTGGGTTTGGTTTTCCATGGATTTTTGTTGGTTTTAATTTGGTTTTTTTTTTCTCTATCTTATTTTTATTTTTAAATTTTTTTATGATTATTTTCAATTCATTGTATCCAATATTTTAATAAGTATCTATAGGTATTTAAACTATTAGTAGGTTTGTAGGTATTGGGTAAGTATATATTGTAGCTAAATTTAACACTAACAACTCTCTTGAATCTAAAATTATTTTTATAGACCTACATATACATATATTATTATAGTTGAATTGTAAACGTATAGTCTTACAATGTATTTATACATTGGTAAAAAAAAAAACAAAAATAGTTTTTAAAATATTTTTGTATTATTTTAAGCATGAATTTCAGTAATTGATAAATCAAGATATGCTTGTCAGTTAAAATCTAACTATTATTTTCCATTCTGGTTGTACCATTATTATAAGTTATTTTAATTCAGCTCAGAAAATAAAAAAAAAAAAATTATGTTTGAGCTCTTAACTTTTATATTTAACTTCTTTTAACAATTTCGTGTTTTGCTTTTTTTCTTTTCGTTTTTACTTTTTTTTTTTTTTTGGATTATTGTTACTATTGTTCTCAATATATTAATTTAGATATAAGAAATGTAAGTTATGTTTTTGTAAAATGCATACTATGGTATATTGTAGTGTGGCCATACTGTTGTAATCAATGGTTAGCAATTATACTAATTTGTAAAAATTTGAATATCGAAATTTTTATTATATTGTAATAAATCTTTTATTTGTGTATTACAGATGATCTAAAGCTGAATAGAGAATAAAAGTTTGGAGTCTTGCGAGGTTTCACTTTAGAATATTTAGAATAATTTCGAACCAATTTAATAAGATCATTGCCATTTTTTAGATTTAGCTAGGCGGCTATCGATATGAAGAATAAAATTAATATGAGTCGTTGCACTTCGATAGTAATATAGTAAATGATATGCTAGAAAGGTATAGCGTCGCTCCATATAGAAGAGTTGTAGAGTCCATTAAATCTATATGAAACAACACGGTGCTAGAAGAAACGGCAGCAGAATTAGTGATATTTTAGGCAGACAACAATTTTCATTCAAGACGTTGTTCCGTTTCCTAGCAGAGTGAGTAAGCCTTGGACATCTATATCTAAAGAGAGGAAGGGCAAGTAAATTTTTTTTTTAAAACAAACCTTTCAATGTCTGTATATTTTTTTTTGTGATTGTAATATTATAGTAGACAGAAAAATGTTATTTTTTGCAGTTTGAAAACATATTTTATTGGTGTGTCTTGGTTTTGTTCGAGAGGGTTCCAGGATATGATATTGGCATTTTCCAAAATTGAAGATAAATCAGATCAAAGATGGAATATTCTTGAAAAGTTTTCGGATATAGATATAAAAATTTTCATTTGAGAATCCTCCACAAAATCGATACTATAGGGGCTCTTTGCTAGAGCAAATATAGATTCAGTGATTTCAGTGGTATTAAGTTAAAAAAGTCCTTTCAATTTACCTATATCTAAATATTTTGAAAATTTATTTAAATATAAAATAAATAAGTTTGTATATCGAATACTGCCCCATAATCTACATACTTCGCGTGTGAGTTATACTAAAATGGCGTTATTACTGCTTTAGTATTCAATTGGCGTTGATACTCAATTTTTGTAAATTAATTCTAATACAATTTTAATATCTGCGTTTATAGTGAATTGCAATTTGGCAACTTTATCGTTATATCTATAGCGAGTACTCGTTTATATAAGTATATATACCAGAAATGGAGGGCATCTGAAAATATTTATAATGTAAATGATTCCAATTTTTATCAATAATACCTTCTTATTACCATGCTGTTTTTATACCCTGCACTTCGTGAAGGGTATATTAACTTTGGTATGGAGTTTGTAACTACTTGAAGGAGTCACCTGCGGTATGGACATATATATATATTCTTGCTCAGCGTAAAATTCTGCGTTGATTTAGACATGTCCGTCCGTCCGTCCGTCCGTCCGTCCGTCCGTCCGTCCGATCGCACGATAACTCAAAAACGAATAATGCAATCGACACCAAACTTTCACAAATTGCTTCTTTTGTGCCAAGGACGAACCCTATTGTTATTGGACTAATTCGGACAACGGGTTCGGGTAGCTGCCATACAACTCAAAGAGTTTATTTTAAATATTTCAAAAACTAATAAAGCTATAAATTTAAAATTTTGTACACATGTGTCCAATTATATTCTACACATGCTCTAAAAATTACAATGGGATAGCTGCACCGGTTCGGGTGGCTGCCATACAACCCCAACAGCAAATTTTTTATATTCGGAAAAATAATAAAGTCAGATTCATGAAACTTGGCAGTCATGTGTCCAATTATAGGTCAAATATATTTCTGAAGTTTTAGTGGAATTGCATGACAGGTTCGAGTGGCTCCCATACAAGTCCAAAAGCTTAATTTAAATATTTGGAAAAATAATAAAGTCAGATTCATGAAACTTGGCAGTTGTGTGTCCAATTATAGATCAGATATATTAGAGAAGTTCTAGTGGAATTGCTTGGCAGGTTCGGGTACCTGCCATACAACTCCAAAAGCTAATTTTAGATATTTGGAAAAATAATAAAGACAGATTCATAAAACTTGGCAGTTGTGTGTCCAATTATAGGTCAAAGATATTTCTGAAGTTTTGGTGGAATTGCTTGACAGGTTCGAGTGGCTCCTATACAAGTCCAAAAGCTTACTTTAAATATTTAAAAAAATAAAGAAGCTAGATTCATGAAACTTGGCAGTTGTGTGTCCAATTATAGATCAGATATACCTGCGAAGTTTTAGTAGAATTGCTTGACAGGTTCGGGTACCTGCCATACAACTCCAAAAGCTAATTTTAAATATTTGGAAAAATAATAAAGTCAAATTCATGAAACTTGGCAGTTGTGTGTCCAATTATAGATCAGATATATTTGCGAAGTTTTAATGGAATAGCTTGGCAGGTTCGGGTACCTGCCATACAACTCCAAAAGCTAATTTTAGATATTTGGAAAAATAATAAAGACAGATTCATAAAACTTGGCAGTTGTGTGTCCAATTATAGGTCAAAGATATTTCTGAAGTTTTGGTGGAATTGCTTGACAGGTTCGAGTGGCTCCCATACAAGTCCAAAAGCTTATTTTAAATATTTGGAAAAGTAATAAAATTAGATTCATGAAACTTGGCAGTTGTGTGTCCAATTATAGGTCAGACATATCCGTGAAGTTTCTATAGAATGGTTTCACAGGTTTGAGTAATTGCTATACAACAATGAAAGGTGCAGGGTATAATTCAATCGGTTCATGCCGGCTGAAACGTTTTTACTTGTTTTTTCTGATATTTTACTTTTCTTAAACAGAAACGACAATTATATAAATTTATTCGCAAAAAAAAAACAACTAAAGTTATGAGAAGGAATCAAAAATTTAGAAAACAAGAAAAAACCCAAGTACACAAAACAACAAAAAAAAAAAGAATTTTTAAGAAAAAAAGACATAAGAAACCAAGAAAGAAAAAATGTTTAATTAAGACTGACAGGTAAATAATGGTTTCGAATTTTGCATAATTGCATAATTTCTTGATTGCAATTTAGAAGTCTTCAAGGGTTAAAGTTTTTTTTTATATTTTTATTATTATTATTGTGTTTTTTTTTTTTTTAATTTTACATTTCATTCAATATTTAACGTTATTATTTCGGACTATTAGTTAGCGTAAACTCAATATAACAATTTCAAATTTTTTGATTATAAAATTTATTATGAAGAAATATACTTGGTACTTATTGTAGGGAACCAGCGCTCGAATAATAACTATAAAGCGAGTGAATCTTAAAAATTGAAATATTCAAAAAAAAAGCTAAAAGGAGAACCAGAAAAACAAAATAACACGAAAATTCGGTAAAATAACAAGACAAAAATAAGCTTTTATAATAGTTTTAATTTAATTGAATTAGGATTTGTTTTCATACCTTTGTACCTATACTTATACTATTCTATATGAAATTGTATTAAATACTTGTAACTATGGGTGTATACAATGTTTACAATCATGATGAAAAATAATACAACAACAACAACAAGATAAAACAAAAAAAAAATTAATGCTGTCTAAAATTAATTTGAAACATTGTTATTTTTCTTGAGAACGAAAAACCTAGATTATGA